ACATTTTTTACATTTAAAAGGAGCTAGAAATGCGAATTCTAATATTAAACTTATGAACGCTGATATCCGTAATTATAATTCGAAAGTCAAAGTTCTGGTGTCGACAGAAGACGTATTCCACGGAGCCAAAGAAACACGACGCCTATACTTCAACAATATACTTTCAAATACCAGTATGGAAAAGAACCCCGGACCATACTTCATGTTCGCTGAAAGTACAACCGCGGACTTAAATTTAGGAAATTTCCAATTGCCATTCGACAAGTGGCTTTTCCAAGAGGACTCTTTCCTGATCAATAATTTTATAGCTAAAAAATAAGCATTATTATAAAAAATAAGTTAAAGATGTGGACTATACAATAACAGAGAAACAGCAAATTTTCTTCTTGACAGTACTTAAAAAACGACGATTTATTTGTCCAATTCCTAAGTCAGCAGTTGAAAAGAAGGCTGAGATTAAGGATTTAGGGGGTGGGGTGATTTAAAGCTATCTGAGGAGGAAATACTTTTAAACACGAAATTCGCGGTTCCACCATTTTCAGTCGAGAGAATGAAAAGTTTTCGTAAAAACCATAGCACATAATGATAAATGAAGATAACCCTAAACGAATGCTACGTTAATCTAGCAAAAATAAGCCAACTCTCTCGATCTTTTTCGACAATGGTGTAAATGCGAACATCAATTAAGGACTTGAAGATTCCTAGCCTCAATAAAGAACTAATGAGAAAGCGTCACTTTGTGAGTGAAGGCCGCTTATATGAATCCAGGGAGGTGAACATGTGGCTCCCTGGAGGAGCAGTCCTCCGCCCTATCATGTTCTCCCTGTACACCACGAACATAAAAACTTCAAACACGGGAAATATAAAACTCTCTCGCAATTCGCGGGCGGCACTTTTGGCGCCGCGTCCGAAAGCGCAATAACCACTTAAATTACTTATAAACCACTTATAAAGTGCTTTGTGCAATGGACAGCCGACCTAGGGCTAACAATTTCAACTGTTAAATCTGTCGCGTTGGTGGTAAATAGGAAAAAGGTGTTTCACACCTCCCAGTCGATTACAATAGAGGGACTCAATATTCCAAAACAAAGTCGAGTTTCAAAGTTACAAAGTTTAGTATTAGACAGTAAGCTCTTATGGCCACCTCATATCTAGTACTTAGCCAAAAAATGCGAAAAAGCGCTCAATGTTCCAACGTGCATGGCACTTGTCCAATCACATCTTCACTCACATAACACACGTGAAAAAATTAGATCGAGTGCAATTCAGGGCGATTCGTATTTCGTTGAGCGCAATGAACCCCTACATCAGCTCTCTTAGTGGAAGCTGTTACCCCCCCCCACTTGATATAAGAAGGGATTATCTTACCTGGAAATATGAATTAACTCAAATGTCAGTGTTGAGTACTAAGCCAATCACTTCAGTCTACCCCCTTACTATCTAGCTTTTCTTAACCTCGATGCACTGCCCTAGGGCATTCCCAAAATATGTGGTTCTTAAATTGTGAGTAACCCGGAAAATGTAAACTATGTGGTCGAGGGTGGTCTCTGTTTGGAAGTCATAGTGATTTGTGCAAATGGATCAAAATACAATGATAATGTCGGAGTGGCGTTTATAGATATGGTTAATAATTATTCTAAGCTTTCGAAACTGCTTAACTTATGTTCAATATTTACAGCTGACGCCATGGCAATCCGCGAAGCTTTGAAATATGAATACGCTTTCACTGATATGGACATAGTAAGCATATCTGACAGGCCAAGTGCTCTTAAGTCACTTAAATCCAATAAGCACCCTAGAAACCCTATCACACACGACATCCGCCATGAAATTTTAATAATTAAAGAAAAGGAAGCGGCTGTGTACATTCCAAGAGAGTTAAATAATCGTCTTGCAGAAAAGGCTTTTCAAAAATAACAAACTTTATTGTAAAAGATTGCAATAGTGAGACCGATACTACGACGGACTGAACATCCCTTTTCTAATTGATACGAGGGTTTATATACAAATTGGTCTAAATGAACTAACTGGATTCATTTGTCTACTAGCCGAAACATTTGAGTGTAATAATAGATGGTAGCTTTTTCAACTTTGGCCCCCAGATATATCCCGCTCGACATATCTGACGTGCTGGTTATATAAATGTAGGTCGTTTTATTACTGGGTTAAGGTACAAAGTGACAATCGGTTCAATATAAAAGTCGATGATCTAACAAATACAGCGCGGAGTACCGGAGGGAGGTGGTAAATATTACGAAAGGCGATGATTTTATCTCTCACGCAAAAAAAAAAATTTTAAAAATCGTTGGCAAAGTATATGACCAGGAAAAGAAACATTAGGGAGGTATTACCCAGAGATACAGCCTAGAATATCCTCCAATTCTTCGTTCAGCTGGATTAACCGGCCTTTTTCACTATATTTTGCAGACTCCGATTTAATCATTACAGGCCACCATAGCAAAGGCGTCAAATTGGTTTAGCCAACCAAAACATCTGCCAGACCACATTTTACTAACAGGTCCCGCCACTTCACGAGGAAGAAGGAAATTGTTCAAATTGGTCAAGTATGGACTTCACTCCCTACAAAAATGTCCCTTCTGCTACAAAAAATGTCTAATTTGGAAATACAGGATGCTATGATCGGGATGGCGTGCAAAAGTGACAATCCAGTATAAAGAATTCATAAAATAAAGATCACGTCCCTTTTCTATTGGCGTGGCGGATGCAAAAAAATTACAGGCAAACAACTGAATAATTTCTCCTCTTTGTATTTCATTCACTGGCTTCGACCGTTTGGTATCAAAACCCGGTCTAAAATTTTCACCGCGCCCTGGAAAGTGCGTAAAACGCTGTCAGAGATTATTAGATTTTCGGTAAATCCAAGCCGGCCAGGCAATTGAAATCTGTTTGAGTTCGAAATCACGGCCCGATTTGTTAAACTTGGAAGAAGTGTCATTTTAAGGGCGCTCGTTGAGAAAGTTTCATAATCAAAAGAAAACACAGCTCGCTCCACGCCTCGGGAAAATTATAAAAGACGTTGTATATAACTATCTACAAAGCTTTTTGGAAAAGTTTAAACAAAATTTCCTTACTCTAAGGTAAGTTTAAAAAAAAGGTAAACTATTTTCAAACGTTATCAACGCTCAATACCGTATTTTATCTATGTTGGAAACAATTGTTGTCTAATTGATTTATTTAAGTTCAACTCCAGAAATGAACTAATGAGAACATCTACTTCAATGTTTTCGCACTCCGGAGTCAGACATGTAGGTCATGCATACATTTTTTAAACTCTCACTCTCTCTCTCTCTCGCTCACTCTCTCTCACTCTCTCTCTCTCTCTCTCTTTACTTCTATCTATATTTGTAATCTATCTATCTATCTATCTCTATCTATCTACTCTCTCTCTCTCTCTCGCTCTCTCTCTCTCTCTCTCTCTCTCTTTTTCTCTCTCTATCTCTATCTCTCGCGCATCTTTCTATTTTTCTCTCTAGCTATCTATCTATGTTTTATCTATTTCTTTTCATACTTCTTTATCTCTTTCTATCTATTTAACTTTATCTAGCTCATTATGTACAAATGACAATTTGCATTTCTTCGCTCTTACCCAATTTCTAACTCTCTCTCCTATCCTTCTCACTTTTTCGTTTTCCTTTTTAACTTTTCGCAGATCGCTCCTTATTTACAATTCCTTTCGCTTTTACAATTAATAAAATATTATATATCATGGAATATTATGTATATTGTATAATAAATAAACGATATGTCAATTTTAAATTGAAAATAATGCCGAGAGACCCCATTGTGTTTTAGTGTCAATGCGATTTTTTGCCCAATGCATGGTTGTTAATCAGATTAACATTTATTCTGAGTCGAAAGGGTTTTGATTAATTGAAAACAAATAAATGACGGCAGTGTCATTAAAGCCATACAACTTTATGCTTAGAAGTATAATTTAATTATATAACTACGCCATGTATTTAAAATTACCTGATTTCAACACAGTCACAAATACATAGTAGTGGGAATTTATTTCTATATGAATTAACATAGACGCTTAACAACATAAATTACAATGTTAATTATGAAAATATTTTATTTAATGTACTTTTAAAATTATATAATATTTTGTTTGTTTTTCCTCTAGATTTTATCAATTTTTGACGGGTCATTATTTTCTACCGGTGTTTTATTCGGTTTCTTGATTTCTCGATTAATCTGTAAAATTGATTTCGCCTAAGGGCATCGTTGACTGACTGTTTGCTCAATCGTTGTTCTCATCGGAGACAAAACTTTTATCCTTCTTCTGTTTACATTCAATGTATTACTTTTAATTGTAATTTTTAATCAAAAGTTTAAAATCGGTCATATATTTTTAGATTGTAAACAATCATAAAATAAACAAGTCGGTAATATGTATATGTATATGTATGTATATATATGTAGGTATATATATATATACCTTTATAATTATTCTGAGACATCATGCTTTTGATAAATATCGAATATGATTTTTTCTTAGGCCACCCATCGATAAAGGAATTTACTGTCGGCAGTAAACGATAGATGGTGAACATACGTGCTATCAGAACATTCGTAGAAGCCATCAGAAAAACAGTTGTCAAGGACGTGCAAAGATAAGGAAAAACGGAAAAATAAAATAAATTTTAAAAAACTCACTTGTTGCGCTTCCGCAGTAGCCCGGGCCGTTAGTTACGGCCCAGGAAATTAAACCGCGGCCGCAAGGGCGGCGTTAAAGAATTTTAAACTTTACATGGACCAGTTCCTTCACAAAGATTTAGCTTCCTAATTTTATACTTAGCAGTTTGTGAAATGCCCTCTTTGTTCGCACAAGTTTAATTTAAAAGATGAAAAAGTAGACTTCGTAAAATATACCGCCTAATATTTCTGTGTTATTGTTACATTTTGTATGTGTTTTTATCTCGTTCAAAATTTTAAAGAAATCCCACTTCCCCGTCAAACTTAATATACTAGCCCACCTGTTATTGTCCACAGTTGGTTTAGGCAGTTCTCGGTGTACTTTGAGATGGGAAGTTTTGGGTTTGGTGGGGGCGGCTCGATCAACTGAAAAAGAAGTCCTCCAGCTCCGAGGTAGCCGACGACCACCAAAACAACCCACAGCCGTTCTAGCATAACCCAGCTAGTTAGTTCATCACCTGTAAACAAAATGAACAACACTCTTATTACACCAAATAAAGAACTGAAAAGTCATTTTTTGAACTTATTTCCCTAACCATTGTCTTTGCACCAAATGCCTTTAAAAAATAAACATCTAATTATTATGGTATAATAATTACAGAGTTAACAAATATTCAGTGGTTTCATATTTCCATATTAAGACAATAAAGAATCAAGCTTGTTTTAAGGCTAGTTAGAGCGTCTGATCGATCGAGTTGTTTCATAACCGAAAATCACAAATAAATGTTTTTGTTCTTTTTTTTACATAAAAAGCTACGAAAGAAGTACCTTTTGATCTATCTATTAATCAGGTCATTTTTAATCAAAACTAAGAAAAAACTGAAAATGGTTACTAGATACCTATTCCTATTTTTTCATTTTAATAGTTTTAGATTGAAAACATATTTTTATTTTATATTTAAATTAACATTGTTGCCTTTCGTAACGAATACTGGTTAAAAACGTCGACCTAGACTTTTAATCGAAAATATCAGTCAAATTAAGAAATTTATATTTCGTTTTAAAGGCTGGTAAAATTATTTCGACTGGGTAATCAAAAATTTATAATACAAAACTTAAAATGAATCGACTGGTTAGCCAAATCGACTACCTCGCAATACTTTATCGACTTACTTTCATGAATGAACTAACTCTTTCTTGGATAAACGCTTTCTTATTTTTCCTTGAAACTATTAGCCTTTTATAGTTATATTTATAACCTGTGTAAATTGCCACATATTGGCAATCAATCAATAATTTTCTCATATTTGAAGATCAATCTCATTAAATGTTTGATTTTTTTCTCACATCCTACATGTATTTGTAAAATTTAGACAATGTTAATAAATCCCAGGCCCTGAAGATGATCTCAACAAAGGTCGAAATGTTGGCATCGTAAAGAAAATGTTTTTCTAAAACCTTCGTCACACCAGACCGCATCTCACGATCTTCAAATAATTATTAACTAAAGTTCACTAAACACTGCACAAATATTCCCATTGTATAAACAGAGAGATATCAACCAAGTTAACACGTACACTGCCGTACCCATTTCGTTTAACTTCTCTATCAAGCGGATATATTCATTGGATTTATAGATAGTGATTTATAGATATGATAGATTTGAATCATATTGAAACATCCACATGATGAAACACCTCACTGACGAGGTCAGAACGACCTCTCCGCGGCGATTGTGAAAAAGACTACTGTTTCTATATTGACTTAAAAGGGGCGTTTGACTCAGTGGATCATTCTTTCATTATTTTAAATTATACAACCTTGTCGTCTCATCGAAGTTAGTGACCAATTTAAAGTTTTAACATTCTTCGCTGCTTCGTCAGTCTATCGAATTTGTTTCCGTTCGTTAACTGCATGTCAGAATTTTTCCGAATAGGGGCCGGTGGGAAGCTTTCTTATCCTATCCTATTTTCCCTTTTTATAGGTGACCTTCCTGCCACTCTTCAGAATGGTATCCTTATTTGCGGTAAAAAATATAGATTTTGCTCTATGTCGTCCATCTTGTGCTCACCCACAGCAGAAGAAAAATATCCATGAAGTTGCATCATTTTGTGATCAGTAGAATTTCGATTTATTTCTTTTTCCCCCTCTCTCTCATGTTATATGTATATATTTTTTATCTCTTCACTCTCTAATTCTTCTTACACAATTTCTCTCTCTCAATCTCTTTCCCTCTCATTAAAACTTTATAACAGACTAAAACCTTTAATTCCAGATTTATGTTTACAATTTAGAAACCATGTATAATATTGAATTGCATATAAAAAGTCTTCTTGTTCACTTATTATATTAGTAATTTACTTTTAATTACTGAATTATCTTATTATTATCTATAATCTTTTATTATTTTGAAGTAAATACTGATGTAGTTCAATTGTAAAACGAACAGATTAACATATTGACAACAAAAACGAATTTCTTGAAATAATTAATGCTTAATTAATTAGAAAAGAGTAAACTTATATGTTCGTATTATTTCACATTGGATGTAAGAATAGTGCCTGAGACCAAATATTGTGTGATGGATAAATAAGTCGTTCATCATCATCAACATCAACATTCTATCACACTTTCTCTTTTTTCTCACTCTCACTCTCTCTCTCTCTCTCTCTCTCTCTCTCTCTCTCTCTCTCTCTCNTCTCTCACTCTCTCTCTCTCTTTATCTCTATTTATCTATCGCTCTACCTATCTCTATATTTATCTATCTATCTAACTCTATCTATCTAAATTAATTCGAAATAAATTCGTTATTATTCAGTGGTCGGAAGCAGCATCTTGGCGTGTAAATGTCGTCAACGGCCACATCGAGTGAAAAATATTATTTGGGAAGTACAATTTTACATTTGGGTCAAGCCGAGTTTGTAATTTTTACCTTTAGGAACTCAAGACGGAAACCCGAGTGTCACAGTGTTATTTATTTATCGGGAAGGTTGAATCGGCCGGAGAAATTCAATCCTCCAGTGCGGTGTGTTCGTTGGATCGAGGCACGGCGGAGCAATTAGGACGAAATGACTGCCAGCCCTTAATGTTCCAACATGCGGAAGTGTGCGTGTGTGGTGTGTGCGACTCCATTTGAGCCGGTGGTCCCCTATCCTCCGAACCCAATCCTCATCCTTCTACAGTTACCAAGTAACAACCGTAATAAGATTTTATATTTCAGTTCGATCCCTTTTTGACAATTTTGTTTGTTATTGCCACTTTTTCATGCCGAAAAATTCAGCTTTTTAACAAATTATTGTTTTTTTTACTCGGTCACACTGTCCGCATGGCCCAACGCTGGCACTCATTGTGAGGGTTTAAAGGTCGATGAAGTTGCAATATTAAAAATTATTGATTGTTATATATAATTTTAAAATTTTAAAAGAGATTTAAAAGAGATTGAAACTAATCTGCAATTGAGTAGAATATCTTTTTAATAGTCTACACACATTTGGACAAAAATTTATTTTTATCTATTTATTCGTGAAATACTCAAGTGGAATTCTTACAAGATGTTTGGGGCTGACAAAGACATATCTCAAACTGAAATAAAACAAAAACATAAATGTGAATCATAGTAGCAAGTATAAGCAAATTACAGTCGATTAGATCTGTTCAGATTCTCGAATTTTCACAGCTTTTGATAAGAAATGGTTTATGTATGATGTTATATGTTAGGAGAGGTTAAACTATTTAAATATTTTTATTTATATTTAACTTCGAGTATTAAGCTCAGGACAGGAGATTAAGACATTGATGTCTAGAAGTGAGGTTCTTCCGGTTGCAACAAATCTGACGGAATTTAGGATCAGACAATTTTTACGATGTAAATACATATAATGAAGGGGAATTATGCTAGACCAAATAGAATTGAGAAATTATTCGAATTTTATAATTTCGGTATTGAAATAAATGTATAAGTATGTATGTATCGACCTTGTTACAAAATTAACCAATAGTGTTGGGCAGAGAGAGTGAGAGTGAGAGAGTGAGGGAGAAAGACAGACAGACAGACAGACAGACCGACAGACAGACAGACAGACAGACAGAGAGAGAGAGAGAGAGAGAGAGAGAGAGAGAGAGAGAGAGAGAGAGAAATGCAATTGAAAGTGGTGGGACCATAGTGGCCGAACGGGTAGTTGTCCGACTATTATTTGTTGCTATTTTTTGCAAGCAAGCAGATAGAGAGACCTTTTTACAAAATAGTTTAAAAAGTTTTCTTAAACATTTTGAAACTTGTGTTAATTTCTTGATAAAAGCCAATTTTAGGAAAAATTATGTTATAGCATATATTAGATGGATATTATGAATTTGTAAATTGTGAAAGTTTAACTTGCTCTCTGAGGGGGTGATAAAGTTGTAGTAGTTTAGCAGTTTTCAATGATATTGGACTGCCCGTCATGCTGGTTTTGTAATATATATTTTGAGAGAGAGAGAGAGAGAGAGAGAGAGAGAGAGAGAGAGAGAGAGAAAGAGAGAGAGAGAGAGAGAAAGAAAGAAGGAAAGAAAGAGAGAGAGAGTGAGAGGTTGGGAGGGAGGGGGAAAGAGAAAATTAGTGAAAATTTGATGTTCGACAAACACAAGCTATACCGATGTGTGTGTGTGTGTGTGTGTGTGTGTGTGTGTGTGTGTGTGTGTGTGTGTGTGTGTGTGTGTGTGTGTAAATCTCTGTCAAATTCAGTGTACATATTTACACTAACCTCCTCAGTTCGGAGTAAAGCACTCTTTTTATTACAATATTTATTTGACGTACAATAAATAATAATAAATTACATTAGGTATGTTGCACATTAAAAACGTTATGACATTTTAATTCCAGTTAATGATATGTTGTATAACTTGTCTTCTTAATGTCTGAATTTTGAATAATCAAAGGGATACATAAGACTCCAAAGCCGCAATTGCAAATAAGCGGGGATAAGCAAAGCCTCGCGGGTAGACAGGGAAAAGGGAAAGCCCCCTATCGGATCGGCTTAACTCCAAGGTAAACACAGACAAACTTGAGTGTTCACTTGAGGAAGTCATTAGAAATCAAACCTCTTCGAAGGCGTGTCTGTACATCAAGTAGGTAAACCGACAGTTTATCCGAATCGGAACGGGCATCAGAGACACAAGGCATGTGTATCCTTTCGGTGATATTGGATAAATTTGATGCTCTGGAGATTAATTTTGAAATGGATTGAATTCCTAGCCCGTCAGCACAAATTGCTCCGAACCGTGTCCTGGAGGGTCCTCAAGGATCGATACCATTAGGAGAACCGGGTGCATACCTTTGAATGACAGCGAGGCTGACGGGCTAACCGCATAATTAAGCCGAACGGCAAATTTTGATGGGTTCAAATTACACTGACCCAATCTGAAACGAGCTATTGTATTACTAATCAAAGGCAAAACCCTTCGTGGAAAATGAATACTTTTATTTAATCGCTCAAGGTTTAATTTTTTTTCCCTGAGTTGTAAAATCTTTTGCAGCATAGTA